AGAAAGGAACTTGCAAAGATACAGAGACAAGTACAAACAGGAAACTCTCAGGGGTAGCAGGTGTCCAGTCAGGGACACCAGGCAAGCCAAGAGTGATGATTCCTTGTGGGGGCGTCTGCCAGTGATACTCTGGATATTTGTGTTTCACATATTGGGAGTTTATGAATTATTTTCAGTGCTCAATACACCCCTTCAATAAGCCATGTGCCATATTTTAAAATCTTACATATTATTTATTTTTATATGCTGAAATTATATATTGAATCTAAATATATATACAGACTTTATATTATTCTCTATTTCTTTTTACAGTAATTATTATTTATCAAGAAATTGTCTTGGAATCATATCTTATAGAAAAGCAAAGTTTTTTTATCAATTGCATTATAATCAAATCTATAACCATGCCATTTTTAAGTTTTATCATTCATGGATAGTCATTACTTTACTCTGATGCATTTACGGGTATATTATATCTTTAGAAAAATCCATGGAAAGGACTCTGTCCTATTCTAAATTGCAGGCTTCTAAGAAGGTCATATCTATCAGAGCCAAGCTTCTAAGCAGGTCATATTTTTAAACTGGATGAAGATTTATAGAACTTCAAGGAATAACTGAATTTTTAAAAATACTGGCAAATAACCAAGATAAACAAATAGTTATGGGACTAACTGAACTGAGAATAATTATTCTTATGACTGTTTAAAATATTGTTAATTTTTAAATCTTTTGTTTCCCAATATAAAGAAAACTAAAAAGGAGACATTCTGCATTATGAAAACTAATAAATTAGTAACATTCATTTCACAGTACACCCAGGAAAAAAAAGATTCAACGACCATGACAACCCGGAGATTTTTGTCCATTGGGAAGTACATTAATGAAAGACTCTCTCCAACAGTGTTAAAGGCACCTTACCTTATCAGATACCTAACCACAAATGGATATTGCCCCTGTCTCTGACACTCGCCTTCATCTCAAGGATGAGAAGCTACTGACTATGGAGGAGGTAGACAGCCATCCCAAGACATCAACAAGGCCTGTATGCTCACAAATTGATGCTGCTCAAACTTTGTTCTTATATCACCTAACTAGAAGCCCGTTGCATGAAGATTCACACAATAGGCCTTTCTTCCCCTGGCTGCTGGCATCAGTTTTCCTCCAGCACCTGGGTCCCAGGCCTTTGGTCTGGCCGCAGCGGCTGCAGGGAGAAGCTAAGCTTCTTCAGTCTTCAGTCTTCAGTCTTCAGTCTTCACTCTGGTCGGAGCCTTCAGTCTTTGCTCCTCCGTGCCTGTATATGCAAATTAACTGCCCTCTTTGTTGAGTTAATTTGCATAGTCACTCTGATTGGCTGGTGGGCGTGGTGAAATGACACCAATTTGCATGTTTCTATTTTATTAGTGTAGATTGTTATTGATTGAATGAATATAACATTATTTTTATATTGTTACTAGAGGCCCAGTGCACAAAATTTGTGCAGGGATGGGTAGGGTCCCTAGGCCTGGCCTGCAATCAGGGCTGATCAGGTTCCCTGCCTCCTTGCCTCCTC